TTTTTGTTGGATCATTTTTTTATAGGAGAATAGGTGTCATTGTTATTCAATAAAGAAAGCATTTTTTGTTTATAGTCTTTTTTTTTTTCATTAAAACAATTCCATTCTTTATTGAATAACAATGACACCTATTCTCCTATACAAAATAATCCAACAAAAAACTTCAAAAATAAATTGAACACCATACTTAAAAACTGTAGAAAAAACAAATATATTAATTACAGGCTTTTAACCAAGTTGAAAAATTATAATGCACATGTTCCCAATATCTTATAAGAGAGAACACCGGTTTTGTCCTCTCAAGAGAACAACAGTCTTTGATTTCCAGACTTAAGTCTGGTCATCTACGGACAATGACTTTCCAGAATGGTTGCAGGGTCTTCCCACTATGTATTAAGTGTCAACCTGCAACCCCAAACCACATCATTGACTGTATTGGCTCATCTATTGATGACTTTCCAGAATGGTTGCAAGGTTTTCCCACTATGTACTAAGTGTCAACCTGCAACCCCAAACCACATTATTGACTGTATTGGCTCATCTATTGATGACTTTCCAGAATGGTTGCAGGGTCTTCCCACTATGTATTAAGTGTCAACCTGCAACCCCAAACCACATCATTGACTGTATTGGCTCATCTATTGATGACTTTCCAGAATGGTTGCAGGGTCTTCCCACTATGTATTAAGTGTCAACCTGCAACCCCAAACCACATCATTGACTGTATTGACTCATCTATTGATGACTTTCCAGAATGGTTGCAGGGTCTTCCCACTATGTATTAAGTGTCAACCTGCAACCCCAAAACACATTATTGACTGTATTGGCTCATCTATTGATGACTTTCCAGAATGGTTGCAAGGTTTTCCCACTATGTATTAAGTGTCAACCTGCAACCCCAAACCACATCATTGACTGTATTGACTCATCTATTGATGACTTTCCAGAATGGTTGCAAGGTTTTCCCACTATGTATTAAGTGTCAACCTGCAACCCCAAAACACATTATTGACTGTATTGGCTCATCCATTGATGAGCTCTACTCATCCCCAGCAGACACCATCAACAAGCTTTACAAGCTTGATACCTTAGTGTGATTGAGTGGAGATAAGAAAGAAGAAGAGAAGAAAACTCTCTCTACAGGACACTTTAGAGTTCTTTAACATTATTTTTATCATTGCAGTAAGGACAGCAGAAAATTATTTTGTATAAATTAAACTCTTAAAATCACGATCATTAAAACAATAATAAACATTAAGAGGAGCTTCTTGTGTAAATTTCTTTATTACCGCAAGCTTTCGAACAAAACGTTCTTCAACGGGCGTGGATAGTAAAAACGTACTAAGTTTAGTAGTACGTTTTTACTATCCACGCCCGTTGAAGAACGTTTTGTTCGAAAGCTTGCGGTAATAAAGAAATTTACACAAGAAGCTCCTCTTAATGTTTATTATTGTTTTAAAGAAAATTATTTTATCTTAAAAAGAATCATACGTATCAAAAATAGTTTAAATTTCTGACAGAAGAGTGATAAATGATTAGCACTTGTATTATTAAAAAGTAATTTCCTTTTTGCATACAGACAGGTAAATATATAGTGAATTAGTTCTGACTCAAAATTAACCATGCACAATACACATACAAGATTTTCTTATTTCATAGTTTTTATATGGTCTTCAATAAAAAGTTTTGTTGTTACAGTTTTGACATTTATTTTACATCTTTTGGCTAAATTATTGACATTTTATAAAGAGCTCTTAACATTTTAAATCAATATTGGTAGCTGTCAAACAACAAATTTTATTAAATAATTTTAATTTTTAAAAATGTATTTAAATATAACTAGCATGATTGATTAAATATAATTATCACCATAACAAAATGGTAACTTGAAGCAATGAAAAAAATTGAAATATTAAAAATGGCTGACATTTTAAAGCGACCTTAAATTTTTAAAATCGCATAAGTATTTTTGTTAAAATTACAACTTAAAAAATAGACACAAAATTTCTTATCTAGCTTTCAGAAGTTTGGAATAAATATATGAATTTAACTCTTCAAGGGCAGTAAATATAAAGTAGGCAAATGCTCTAGATCTTATTATAAAATATTTATTTCATATTTTTTGCATATTTATCATCTAATTTATTTGGGAACTTACAGCTTGAGGATCATCTTAGATAACCACAATAAACATTTAAAATCGGGCTACGCCAAAAGTAAATTATTTCGCAGAGTTTAATAATAAATGAATTTTAGAGTGTTTTTTTTTTTTTAATATCTTCTTAAATTTCAATTTAAACCGTTATTTTAGCAGATTTTTAATTTGAATTTATTTCTTTTATATATTTCTGTTTAAATATTTTAAACTTTTGAAATATATTTTCTAAATTTCAGAGAAAAGGGTACTTGGGATCAGTATGACCCCAAGTACTATTTACATAAGATCTCTCGGAATTTTGATTATCACAAGTTTAATTCACCCATATTATTTTACTAATAGTTAAAAATATATATAAAATAGTTTCCTTTAAATTGGTTCAAGAATAAAATAGTGTGACTTGGGCCATTTTGTCCGCATACCTTTAGTATTAGTATTTTTAAAGTGAAATGGTAGGTTTATTAAGGAGCATATCTCGTATTTAAAATTAGTAAGTCACTATAATTATCTTAATAATTACTTATGATACCCCAGAAAAAGATTGATTTGAAATGTGTGTTGCTTAAAATAATCAATTAGTCATTCAGAACTAATATTTGCACTCTGAAATAATAATTATTCTGGAAATGGAATGTGATTCTAACGATATATACAGGACTTTAATTAAAAATTATTAACCTTTATTTTGAGATCAAAATCATTAATATAAAATTGCTCAACGCAAGGATGAATTGGCTTTTATATGTGAGCTTGATTAGAAGTCTCTTAAGCCTCTGAACTTAACATTCTCAGGGGAATAAGACAAATATATCCAGATTCTTTAATTTAATTTTCACTTATTATATTCTCAATGATAAGTTTTAAAACTTCTTATCGGAGTGATATTAGATTATTTGACTAAAATATGACAGAAATCATCATCAACATCATTGATTTTAAAAACATGCGCGTGAAAAAAATAGGAGAATGATGTACATTATACAAATATTTGATTAACTTAAATTTTTGATTCATTATGGGTGTCATTCTTTTGTATAGGTGCCATGCTAATCTCAGCATTGTTCCTATCTTTTTTTCCTTCCACAATCATTTAGAACTCAGATATCCTGATGATTATCTCTGATATACCTCATCAAACAGCACCCTGTTTCGTCTCTTGTATGAAATTACTCACAAGGGGCACTACAGGAAGATGACTGGTGATAAAATAACTAGTAAAAACTTGAAATTTCAATATATATGTTATAATATTTGGAAATATATATAAATAAAGTGTGGGAGTATGAGGAATGGGGAGATAAAATAGTCAGAGCTGTTAGAGGACAGTTGGGATAAAATTTCAAAGGAGAGGCGGCCATACTGGGCAGTCATTGCTGGAGCCATGTCAGCACGTCTGTTATTAAGGACGTAGTCTTCTTGTTGCCACTTACCTCTGGGGTGGTCATTTCCATATCTATCCACATTATCTATCTATATATATAAATGAATGTATGTGTGTGTGTGTCCTTTATGCCTGACCAAACCACTCATTAGAACGCCATGAAACTTTGGGAAGTTATTTAGTATAGTACTGGGAAGGTTTCTAGCAAATAAAATTTTTGAAATAACTTTTCGCCTAAAAATAATCAAGATAAATATTCTAATTTATCTGTTATAATTCAACAATCTGCTCTAAATATTATCATGATGATACGATGATTTTGTAATGTAGAAAATTAGGAAAGACAAAATTCAGGATGACACGGCAATTTATTTGAGACAAGAATAATGATACAATTCCAAGGCAAGATACTATTCCTTTAACTTCCAATTACCGAGGGAACCAATTAATATTGAATTGATTCAACTTATCGAGTATTTTTCAAGGGACCAGGAAAAAATGTTCACTTTATCGAGAGATTCGTTAGACAAACCTTTACTCGGGTAAAACCCGGGCGAAGCCGGGTACATCCGTTAGTGCTACATAAATATTAATCAAGAAAAATTCACATGCAGTGTGTTATAAATAAACACACAGATTTAAGTTTGCCTATAACAAAAATATCATTTTCTAATTGTTTATTTCTAAAACTTTTTAACATATTGATATGCATTCCAATAATCTTAAGGGGATATTAGCGACCATTTTTTAAAATATCTTTTAACTTATTAAACCTTTATAATATGATGCACTAGCGCGCCATCTGTTATCAAAATTCGAAACTATTTTAAACGCGTAAGATTCTTTTTGAAATTAAACAATTTCTACTGCCCTTACTGCAATGGAAAAATTAATGGGAAGGCCTGGCTCATCAGTGGTGAACCCTCCCAGCTGGGGATTAATTTTTTCATTGCAATAAGGGCAGTAGAAATTGTTTAATTTCAAAAAGAATCTTACGCGTTTAAAATGTTTTCGAATTTTATTAAACCTTATCAGATAGAAAAGGATATGCCCGGCTAGCTCAGTCGGTAGAGCATGAGACTCTTAATCTCAGGGTCGTGGGTTCGAGCCCCACGTTGGGCGTTTTTTTTTTTTTTTTTTTTTATTATCAAATATTTGAAGAAAAATAAAAGAAATTCGGGAGTAAAATGACTGAAAGAAAAGAGAATACCATGTCAAATTTAATCATTATCAGTTTAGGGCACTATAAATGCTAACAATTATTTTTTTTTACAAAAAGGTTGGGATTCAATATACATTGAATTTGGAGGCAACGAGTCGCCCCAACTTTGGTATATAAGAAAAAATGTTTTATGTGTTTATCATTTTTGAAAATAAATTAAAATACATATTTTCCAGAGAAGCTTTAGACTATATTGATACACAATATACTTATATAATTGCCTTATTCTGTCTGTGTGAAGTTCACCCGGGATCGAACCAGGGACCTTTAGATCTTCAGTCTAACGCTCTCCCAACTGAGCTATTTCGGCTTATTTTAGTTATTTCTATAGAAGCTTCTATCTTTATAATCTACTTATATAATTGCCTTATTCTGTCTGTGTGAAGTTCACGGATAGATTTTGGTCAGAATGGATAAAATAAAAAAAAGTGTCAAGGGATGGGAATCGAACCCACGACCTTCCGCTTACCGGGCAGATGCCATGACCACTAGGCTACCTTGGGAATATTTTTCCGTTCATAAAGTTAATATATGATTTAGTAAGTGAAATGCAAAAAAAAAAAAAAAAAAAATCGACATGATGAAATCTTTATGAAAATTCACATTTTTATTTTTATATTTTCAAGACACACAGTTTGGGGCGGGACGTTTCACAAGAGAGACATCCACGGCGCCAATTTATAATTGTAACGAATAGTATTTTAATTAAAACATTTTAAAAACACACAGTTTGGAACGGGACGTTTCACAAGAGTGACATCCATGGCGCCAATTTATAATTGTAACGAATAGTATTTGAATTAAAACGTTTTTAAAATATATACGCACTCGGGTAAAACCCGGGCGTTGCCCATTCGTCTAGTATTAAATAAACGACTTACCGCAAAAATTATTTTTATTTTTATTATTTTTTATTTAGACCATATAATTCTCTTGAACATCTATTTCCTGTATTCCTTACAGTCTGCAGATTGAAATGGCGAAACATATCTGGAAGGGTTTAGAACTGATGAACTTCTTCTAATAATTTCATTCATCTCTGAAATTGTTTTGTAAAACTTTGAATTCCGATATTTCGGCGAAAAATATACATTTCTTTATTAAGGCAACGGTTCTTTTTTTCCCTCTCTCTCTATATATATATATAAGCTTGCACCACGCTGATGAAGGCCAACAGCCCGAAACGCGTCCGTGGTTAGCTTTTCTTGATTAATCAAGAATGGGTATTTGGCCAATTCTGGAATAATTAAAAATCAACGAGAATAGTTTATATTTATTCCGATAGATGGCGCAAGCCATCAGCAACTTTCAGTTGCACGATAAGGAGATGCCTTTTTCTTAATATAAGATAATGTATGTGAATACGTTTATTTATTTGTGTGTCTTATATGTTTCCTCAATATTTTGCAAACCTGGCTGAAATTTTAACAGGATAAAGAGTTATATCTGAAAAATACGTTTTTTGTTACATTTTTAACCAACGAACATTCAAATGAACTAAATACCGGACTAATTTACTTATTTCCAGTCAGAACACGGGCGAAGCCAACTCACATATATAGGTAAGTTCAAAGAACATCTATATTGTTTTCTCCATTAAAACTATTTATTTAAAAAAAATTCATAAATTTAAAAGTAGGTGTATTGATGAAGATTTAGTTTGAAATATAAGCTTTTCAAATCCCTTTCAAGTTAAAACTAATATCAATCTAATTTACATATTTTTGATAATAAAATTACTACTCCTGTTAAAACAATGTTCGTTAGGTAAACTTTCCCTAGGGTAAAACCCGCGCGAAATCAGGGACATTCGCTAGTTCACTCTAAGGTTTAAAATAGTTATAAAATGCACTTCGTTTATTTCTTTTTGTTGTTGGTATAAGGTTGTCTAAAATTTTTCTAAAAAAAAAAATGTCAGAAGTGGGATTCGAACCCACGCCTACAAGAGTAGACTGCGACCTGAACGCAGCGCCTTAGACCGCTCGGCCATCCTGACATGCTAAGACGTAGATTAATCAACTTAAACAAAATTTACATATCGTAGATGTAGATTATTCTCTCTCTCTCATCTCTCTTTCTCAAATTCAACATAATAATAATTCTAAAAAGGTTTATTTTATACGATTTACAAGAAAGATAACTCCTATTTACATTTTTATTCGGTAGTTTTCCCGTTTTCAGAGTCGTTCTCCTGCTGTTCCACTATGGCTCTGCAGTCCGCCAAGTTCCACTATGGCTCTGCAGTCCTCCAAGTTCCACTATGGCTCTGCAGTCTTCCAACAATTATCTATCTATGGAATCTCCATATCCAATACTCCCATGTTCTTTCAGAACTGACTTTATCTCCGTTTCTATTTCCAATGGATATTATTTCTATCGTTTTTTAGCACTATGGATGGGACATAAGTGAAGTCTCTACCCCAGATTCCCCCAGTTCTTTTCTGCAGTCGTCTGACCTCCAGATATTCTATATACAGTTACGAGCGTCATTCCTCATCGGCCTCTGTCACCGTTTGCTTTTTTTTTTTTGGAATGGCGCCCTCCTATTGGTTGGCTACGGTCACGCCACCTTTGCCCCCCCCCCCCCTATCATGCCTCCCCCACTCGCTCTTTCGTTTTTGTAACTATTGGTTTGGAGCGGGTCGCTCTTTAAATAAATGCATATATTAGTTAATAACTAAATGGAATCCTCTCTTTCCTTTTCCCAGTATGAGACGCCTACGGAAGCCAACAGTACATAGACAGATAAAGCACATAGGCTATAGTTATTAACTAATATATGCATTTATATAAGGCGCCAATTTATAATTGTAACAAATAGTATTTGAATAAAAACATTCAATCGGGTAAAACACGGGCGTTGCCCGGGTCATTCGGCTAGTATATTGATAAAGTAGGAGCTGTTTGTGAACGAGATCCACGAGTCTTCGTCTCAGTTCCTCACGTGGAAGATACAACCGTTCCTTGTTTGCTGGCTTTAGATGTAGTTTACACTTGTTTAGAGTACTTCGTACTTTTTGGTTTGAAAATTCTACTTAACACATTCATTTTTTACTTTATTACACATTCAAAAAGTGATATTTGCTAACTGACAGGGATGATTGGATTTGTGAAAGTAAATAGAAAGAGTCGAAATTTAAAATTATATATAAATAAAACTTAAAGTAAACATCTTATTATACACAAAAATATACTCATGGACAAAATTCAGACAATAACTATGAAACATATTTGATGCACAGTGACCTTTATTGAAGACACACGAGATAAACAAGTGTAAACACAAAATTGCCTCTTATCTCCTTAAAAAAAAAAAAAAAAAAACAGACGCCCGACGATATCAAAGACTTTTCATTTCCTTAAGTTTTATCCATGAGTGTATTTAAGAACATCATTATAAATGGATAAAACTCACTGTTAAAACTTAAGAAAGTGGAAAAAGTCTTCGATATCGTCGTTCATCTGTTTAAAAGTAAACAATAAAAGATAAAAAGAAAACAATCCCTATAGATGGAATTCTGGAACTGGGGAGAAACTAAGGTCAATGAAATGATATCCATAGAACTGATTCTGTAGAGATGGTCTGCTACCCGAGATGATTGCGTCACCAGAGGATACGACGTGACACCTAGGTGTGGATGTACCGGCTTCTCCTCACCCTCACAGTGGTTCTCGCCTTCAGGTATTGTCTTTTGTTCTCTACATGTGGTACAGAGTTGACAGGTATTATGGGGAGTAATAGCTATGACAGATTGTACTGTAAGTACACCACAGGTCTACACGTGTAGACAGCCGGTTACATGTACTGTAAGTACACCACAGGTCTACACGTGTAGACAACGGGTTACGACAGCCTGTACTGTAAGTACACCACACGTCTACACGTGTAGACAGCGGGTTACGACAGCCTGTACTGTAAGTACACCACAGGTCTACACGTGTAGACAGCGGGTTACGACAGCCTGTACTGTAAGTACACCACAGGTCTACACGTGTAGACAGCGGGTTACGACAGCCTGTACTGTAAGTACACCACAGGTCTGCACGTGTAGACAGCGGGTTACGACAGCCTGTACTGTAAGTACACCACAGGTCTACACGTGTAGACAGCGGGTTACGACAGCCTGTACTGTAAGTACACCACAGGTCTACACGTGTAGACAGCGGGTTACGACAGCCTGTACTGTAAGTACACCACAGTTCTACACGTGTAGACAGCGGGTTACGACAGCCTGTACTGTAAGTACACCACAGGTCTACACGTGTAGACAGCGGGTTACGACAGCCTGTACTGTAAGTACACCACACGTCTACACGTGTAGACAGCGGGTTACGACAGCCTGTACTGTAAGTACACCACAGGTCTACACGTGTAGACAGCGGGTTACGACAGCCTGTACTGTAAGTACACCACAGGTCTACACGTGTAGACAGCGGGTTACGACAGCCTGTACTGTAAGTACACCACAGGTCTACACGTGTAGACAGCGGGTTACGACAGCCTGTACTGTAAGTACACCACAGGTCTACACGTGTAGACAGCGGGTTACGACAGCCTGTACTGTAAGTACACCACACGTCTACACGTGTAGACAGCGGGTTACGACAGCCTGTACTGTAAGTACACCACAGGTCTACACGTGTAGACAGCGGGTTACGACAGCCTGTACTGTAAGTACACCACAGGTCTACACGTGTAGACAGCGGGTTACGACAGCCTGTACTGTAAGTACACCACAGGTCTACACGTGTAGACAGCGGGTTACGACAGCCTGTACTGTAAGTACACCACAGGTCTACACGTGTAGACAGCGGGTTACGACAGCCTGTACTGTAAGTACACCACAGGTCTACACGTGTAGACAGCGGGTTACGACAGCCTGTACTGTAAGTACACCACAGGTCTACACGTGTAGACAGCGGGTTACGACAGCCTGTACTGTAAGTACACCACAGGTCTACACGTGTAGACAGCGGGTTACGACATCCTGTACTGTAAGTACACCACAGGTCTACACGTGTAGACAGCGGGTTACGACAGCCTGTACTGTAAGTACACCACAGGTCTACACGTGTAGACAGCGGGTTACGACAGCCTGTACTGTAAGTACACCACAGGTCTACACGTGTAGACAGCGGGTTACGACAGCCTGTACTGTAAGTACACCACAGGTCTACACGTGTAGACAGCGGGTTACGACAGCCTGTACTGTAAGTACACCACAGGTCTACACGTGTAGACAGCGGGTTACGACAGCCTGTACTGTAAGTACACCACAGGTCTACACGTGTAGACAGCGGGTTACGACA